GAAGTGCTATAAAGGGCGTACAGTGTTTTGTGCAAGTTTCTGTTCGGACTTCTCTTTCTCCTGCTGCCTGATGGGAAGAAATGGGCAGTCATCTCCCTAGTGACTTTATCTCCCCATCAGGAATGAGTGCAAGGGGTCAGATGCCCCTCTGCATGCTAGTCACCATCTGCTGACAGCAGCGCTCCCCTGGGAGAGCTGGCTTTGTTTACTGACGGGGCTAATATGAGGAGACACGTGAAGTGCTTTGGTTTGTGGAAGAGGGCAGGAGAGGCATGGTGCTATGAAAACATTCCCACACACTCTAATGGTTCATTCGCATAGAAAACAAGTGAGAGCCTTCAGCTCTTTCACAGAGCTCAAAGTAGAACAAACGGACTCAAGAACCCCAAGGCACCAGTCAAAAAAACACTTTCCTAATGCACTAATACTGAGATGCTCTCCATGATAGCTTACCTATGAGACTTCGGCTCTCATTTAGGCATTTAAATGACCTGGCTAGATTGAAAAACTGCTCAGTATCTGGTAGTTGCTATTGTTCACTGTTAGCTGCTAAGTTATTTTTGAAAATCTAATCTTCAGTTTCCTAAACCTAAACCTCCTAAAACTGGTTATAATAGGTGAAGTATGCATTGGAGAATTTTATCAGCACAGTCAACAATTGATTATTTTCTCTTTAGAATAAAATCTGTAGAGCTCAGAAGAAATACAACATGCCTAAAAAGAGATACATTTTTTGCTCTGTAGTTGGTAGAGACACACACAGATGCAGACATGAGTGTGTAACTTTGGAGTATAATTTGGGGATTGAAAAGAAGTGACTTTCTGAATTAGGTCTCAAACACAGCTGGGATACGTGTCATAGAAAAGTCCACGTCGTAAACTCTTTCAAGTGATGAATGATATTTAGTGAAAAGCAGCATTCATTATTTTGGTCTACAGTTTATAAGGTGTATAAGAAGACAACACAAACAGTGATACTAGGTCAGCCCACAAGTTCATGTAGCCCAGTATCTGATCTCTAACATCAGCCTGTGTTGCATGATTAGAAATAAAGCATAAGAGTGCAAACTTGCAGTGATTCTTCCGTTAAGACACCCTCCCTAATACATACCAATTTGTGATTTGGGGAATTTCAAAGTCTAGTATAGCACCATGGTATAACAAAGTATTACGTAAAAAGGATTTCCTGTTTGTTCTAGAAGAGTTATGAAACTCCTTGGTTCTTGCATTTTGAGACCTACTTAATTACAGTACTGTCTTCACCTACTCCATGACACTCATTGTTTTCTTATCTGTCTTCCATTCATGTCTTTACTTCCTGAAGGGTCCTAGTCTAATTTATTTTCATACAGAAGCTGGTCCATATTTATTACCATGTTTGTTGCTCTGTCATTTCCAGTTATTTTATATCTTCCTGCGCATTGCAGAGTGGACCAGAACTTCAAACTCCATGGATGCACCAGTCATAATAATTGATGATATTTGATGACTATTGAGGGCTGGAGCACCTCTTCTATGAGGAAAGGCTAGGAGAGTTGGGGTTTTTCAGCCTGGAGAAAAAAAGGCTTCGGGGAGGCCTTATTGCGGCCTTCCAGTACGTAAAGGGGGCCTACAGGAGAGCTGGGGAAGGACTTTTTACTAGGGCATGTAGTGATAGAATGAGGGGCAATGGCTTCAAAGTGGAAGAGGGGAGATTTAGATTAAGTATTAGGAAGAAATTTTTCACTTTGAGGGTAGTAAGGCACTGGAACAGGTTGCCCAGAGAACTTGTTGAGGCCTCATCCTTGGACATGTTTAAGGCCAGGTTGGATGGGGCTTTGAGCAACCTGGTCTAGTGGGAGGTGTCCCTGCGTATGGCAGGGGGGTTGGAGCTAGGTGATCTTCAATGTCCCTTCCAACCTAAACCATTCTATGATTCTATGATTGAGCTGATATTCTCATAGAAGTAGCCACAGTAACTCCGTAATCTTAATTTCTGCAGGATATTAACAACTGTAGCCCAGCAAAATAAATATGCATGTATATATGGACATAAACATGCAGACACACACCATCCATGTTTATTTTCAAATGTAATATATATTCATATAACACTCTACATATCTATAGTTAGCTCCGTTATGTGTAATTAGCTCTGTTTCCCTTCACGGGCATTAAGTTACATGTATTAAATTTTCTGCCTTTGTGTAGTCCCAGTACTTTTCTGCCCTTGTGTAGTCTCAGTACTGTGAAATTCCTAAGCTTTTTTTTATAATTGGCTTTTGTCTTTACTTCATTGAATCATCAGGAACTCACTATCTACTTCTATTTCCAGATTATTTAGGGGTATATGTTGAGCAGTACAGAGGGCAGCACAGATCTTTCTGAAAAATCAGTGATAACCTTCCACCAGAATGAAGAATGACTTCCCCTTTCCTATCTTTTAATTTAATAGAAGACCTGATCTCTTTTAATAGAGCTTAGTCTCTTTCAGAGTCTTTGGTGGGGACCTTTTAAGAACAAATGTAATCCATTCATTGATGTCTTGACCCTTTATATTCAACCAGTGTACCTATAGCCATGTAACGTCTTTGAAGAATGGGACTAAAATACACACACTCCCTTTTCCGCTTTTGCTCACTCCGAGTTCTTGTCAAAGTCAATACAGCGCAAGGATTTTTTGAAATGGATATGACTATGCAAAAGCGTCAGGTCAAATATATTAGCAAGGGCAGGAGCGCAGCTAACCCTAATTGCATGTTACATTTGCTTTAGTTTTTACTGCTTCTCAAGGAAGGTTATGTCTAATTTAAGCTTGATTCTAAAAATATTCATATTTGGCCTAAAATAACCTCACTTTGGGAATGTGCCACTGCAAATGTGAAGTTTTTGAAAAGGCTTCACTTTTTTGGTAGATAAGAGTATTTGTAGTTCAGTTCCATCTTCCAATGTTTAACATACCACATTTTTTGAGATGTGTGGTATAGATCAAAGGGCAGATTTGGCCCTTGGTTACCTGCTGTTACTGGCACTAATCTCACAGCTATTGAAAAATGATGCATCAAATTTATATCACTGCAAATGTCACTATTCTGAATCTTACATATGTTGCCTGAGCTGTCAGTAATAAAAATCTGTTCTTAATTATTCTCCCATTTAAAAAATAATAATTTTCTAATAACCCAGTGAATAGGAATTTGATGTTTTCTGTGACTGGAAACATTTTAATGATTTAATACATCTATAAAGTTCTGTGTGCTTTTATAATATAATAGCATTTGCAAATGAGTAGGACTTTCCTATTTAAATCCCTATGGTTATCAAGAAAAGCAGAATTTGTTTAAATCTGAGTTACATTTAAAAACAAGTAACATAAGGAAAACATTTTAAGATAAAAGTAATTCAGCAGAAAGCCAGACATACAAAACTGGGTTTACACATGTTACAGGGTTGCAAAGTATAAAACTGTATAGTTAAAATTAATCTTATCGTATATTTTAATCTTTTGTCCACCTTATTGTTTTTCCTTTATAGGAAGGAATATGGTTTATTTTTGCTTCATTGATATTATATGGAACTGATTTCACTGTGATAAGGAAACGAAAACAGAAAAGATTATTGAGAAAATATAAGAAGAAAAATGAAGGCTTTGGATAGTGTCAGATTTTCTTGTTGGAAGCACAATAACCCAGACCATAAGTCCTATTTGATTTTAATACTTTTTTCCCCCCTATCACAGTACTTGTTGCAGTTAATTACCTTCATTCAAAGCCCAAAGAAGTGAACAGAAAAGACTCCCTTTGAAACTTTGGACTAGCCTCATAGATATGATAATTAGCATGAAATTCTACCTTCATTAAGGGTTGAAGGGTTTACAATATACAAAGAGTAAAGTGCTCTCCCTTCTTTGTTTTTTCAATGTGGTGATAGAGTCTAACATTTTAGCTCATTGCTGTGCTTCACAGAATAGTGTAGCTTTTGGAAACATGGATATTAACAACCAATCTATCAAACGTGCATTAATATACAGCTAAAAAAAAAAAAATGTTTCTTTTTCTTGTCCATTTGGTCTTGGCAACATGTTTTTAAACAGAAGCATATAAAACATTTCATACAAAACACCCTAGCTGATACTGGATAATATTTCATTACCTTGCTTGGTTGCTTCTCAAACCAGATTGCTGTATTACTGTTTAGGTTTCTGGTTGTATCTCTGTATCTGAAATTCTAGACAGAATTTGTCCTTGCTCCTTGAAGTCAAGTAAACTAATATTTATTTTTCCAGATACATTATTTATTTAATTTTATATATTTTTTTTAATGCCAAAATGCTATGTAATCAAAAAGCAGTGCGAAACAAAAATATGTAACTGGGTGCAAACAAGCACTACAAAGTTCAGGAAAGCTAGATGAATAGGTGCTGATATAAGGGGTTTTTCTGCCCTGTTGGCAATGAATCTGTTCACTAATTGAGACAAAGATCCAATGCAAAAAATGGTCTTAGAATTAAAGGCTATAATAACGCATGCATGCAAAAGCTGAGTTAGAGTTGTACACATCATCTGGAAAGTATTGTATAGACGGGAATCCAATAGAGTCTGGAGCACCGACTTTTTCTTTACCAGATTTTAAATATCTGTTGAAACAATGGACAGCATAAATTTCTAAACTGCAAACATTTCATTCTATGAGTGTCCGGTAACCTAAATGGAGGACTCTCCCTTATTTTCTAATATAATAAGATTATTTTTTTCAGTATTTATGTATTAAAATAAACCATGGATATTAGTATTGTATTTTAGAATAATTTTGGTCAGGATATTTTAGAATGGTGTGACAGCAGACCCACAAGTGTCCAACCTTAAAGCTGCAATCAATTCTTAGGAATCATCATTTTTGCCAATTCTATTCTCCACATCTTTTATTATCAGCTGGTCTTCTGACAATTCTTGCTAGTCAGGGTGACCACAGTCAAAATCCTGTCTAGACAAAATGTGGTGGTTTTTTTTCAACTTTTGCAGATCTAAGTGACCAGCTTATGGAAGTGGTTGGTCTGGAAGGAGCCATGGAGATGGGACAGATATACACAGGTCTGAAAAGTGCTGGAAGACGGCTTGCCCAGTGCTCATCTGTTGTCATCAGGTATCGGAAGCTTTAATTTGCACTGCACTGCTGTAGAGTCATAATTACTGTACTTATTTGTGGTGAAAGTATCATTTTTGTATATGAAATACATCTATTCCATCCATATTCTATGCCCATACATCTTCCTTTCTTTAAGTGTGTCAAAAAACTAGAAAAAGGGTGTTTACATTCAGTCTTCACATGTTGTGTTCAACTGTCATTTCATCCTATGAGGAAATATTATCAACCATTTGGAGCAGAAGGAGTAAGGCATGAACATCTTGGGTTTTATTATTGACGTACACTCTGCGCAGTTCTGAGCAAAATGTCATTTAACATTACTTTGACACATTTTAACCCATTTATAATGCATATCTCACCGGGGAATAGTAGCGTGTAATTAGTATTTTTAAAGCACTTTTTTGATCTGTAGAAGTCAAAGTGCTCTGTTTTTAATTTATTTGTTGTTTACTGAACACTGACAAGTAACTATTAATAAATGTGTTGGTATGTGTAAGCCCCTAATGATGGAGCATGCTAATTTAGCTGTGTTTTATCATTTACTATGCTAAAAGTGACCAGAACGTTCACAATAGAGGAAATTTGGATTAGGACTCACGGAGAAAATAATTATTCTAACTTTTGGATTAGATAAGGACTGGAAAAAAGAGAGAGATGGATAGCTCTTCCTTGGTGAAGAATTTCTCAGGAAGAATTTTCCAAAATCTTAATAAAATTATAAGCTGTGCAATTATAAGCCCCAAAAGCCTAAAAAGAGCACAAAAGAGAAGAGCAGCAATAAAAACTTTAAGATAAAAAGTACGATTTGCCAGAGTGCCAGGCAAATTTTTGATACTCTCCTTAAGAAGTGGGTGATGTCAACTTCAAAAGTACTCTCTCATGTGGATGAGGAAGAGAAATAGGATCACAGAGAAATTCCAACCTTCTCGAGATACTAAGATATAAGTTTTGTAATTCCACACTGGCAGGATCACAACTGCAAAAGAACTGAAACCCTTCCAGACCTATAAAGTGAAAGCTCATTGAACATTCTTCCATTCTTCCACTTATGGCCATAGATAACAGTGGTGAATCCCATGAATTGTTAGTCATTTTCAAATAACATCCAAGCTGGAATTTCCATTGACCAATGTGAGTGCTCAGCTGACTCATTTTTCCATTACTAGATTTGTCTACATCATGTTATTTCTAATAGTCTTGCATGCAAACTATTATAATGTAGAAATGTAGGATTGAAAAAGACCCAAAAGGATCATCGGGGTTTTTTTTATTTCCCTTATTTGTCTATACTTCTCGTAATGTGGTATCTAAAACTAGACATGGAACACTGACTGTAGCTTTATGTTAAAATCAGTGCCCCTTTACTAACAATTTAAATTTATAACGTGGTGTATATATGCAGTACAACTGTCATGTTATGTGAGTGCTCTGTCTAATCCAGAGTTAGACTCAAGCATAAAAACATCTTTTATGGTTCTAATAAATGATGATGATAGAGCTAAAATTTATTTCTTATTTCCTTTGTAGTAGTCAGTCTAAATTATAAAAAATAGCAGAGGTTCCTTTGTCTTTTCAGTTAATAAGGTTTATTCCCGAAGTTCTTGAATAATTCACTCTTTATTTCACAAATTACAGACTACTCTCCCATGGAGAGTTACCCAGATGTCTGAATTTTTGCAATGGTTTTGCTTTGTGTGTTGAAAATCAAACTAAGCCTACTAAGTGACTAGCTTACTTTTGTAAGGATGTTGGGTCATACTGGAGATTACATAGAAACTTAGGGGTAAATCAGTATTATGTGCGTGTGTTATCACATGTATCTGTCCTTAATAAATATATTATTAATTTTGTCTAGTTACTTTTACTTATACTGTGAAATATATTACCTTAGGACCAGCAAGTCTCTGCCTATGCAGATAGATGGGGAACCTTGGATGCAAACCCCTTGCACGGTAAGGATACGGGGAATACTGGGGATACTGGGATATGCTGGGAAGAGAGCTGAACAAAAAATTTAGGAAATTTTTAAATGAGTAAGAACAATTACAATAATCAGAAATATTAACTGTTTTATTTACTTTCATTTCTTCAATAATAGAGATTTTTTTGATTTAAAAGACAACCATTGTCATCAGCATTAACTCAATTTGATTAAGCAACATCTTCACACACTCTTATATAGTTCAAGACCCACTGCATTTTTAATTTATGATGCTATTTTTTCCCACAGGTTAGGATGGAATAAAAAGGCATTTATTTCAAAAGTTTGGAAAATACGCAAAGGGTGCAGTCCCACCATCCCTTTACCCAATGTGAACGCTTATTTATGAAGTTGTATCAGATTTATAGTCTCTATTACTAAGGAAGAGCCGGTGTTAGTTTTGATGCTGAAATGCACAAAGTAACAAATTATTCTTTAAAAAAATTAGGAAGATTTTCCATTGCACTTTTGAGAGTTCATATCAAGGAGGTTTTATTTAAAGCTGAATTCTTGACTGTGCTGATTGAATTATACAATAGAACTAATATTTTAAAAAATCCTTACAGTTTAATGGAGAAATGAAGAAAATCATTTAGTCTTTTGTTTCAGTGCCAACACATAGAAGTGAGGGCAGGTAAACAGCAATCAGGATGGGATGGGATGGGATAGGATGGGATGGGATAGGATAGGATGGGATAGGATAGGATGGGTTAGGATAAGACAGGACAGGATAGGGAGGACCTTACTCAGAGGACGTTCTTTGAGTAACTGTTTACAGACAACATAAGAAAGGTGTAGCTCTAAGAACTCCCCATGTTCATCTCACTGATAATTATAGAGGCTAACCGAGCAGCTGGAGAAGATGTTGAAGAAATTTAAGATCTTGATTGTTGAATATAGTCATAGTAGCACGTTTTAATATACAATTTTACTAATTTTGTTTCCCTAAACATGACCTGTGCTTTTAAGTAGATAAATTGCTGTAGCCCTGAAGCTTGTAAGTATCACAAAACATTGATGTGACAAGGAAGAAATCCCGCTACAGATGGGAGTAGTTCTCCAAACCAGGGTACTAGATCCCTTTCATGAACTTTATGTCTGTAGTAAAATTAAAGGCTACACAAAAAAGTAAAGGGGAACACTTTCAGTAAGGTGCTAACAGGTGTGGCTAACAGGATGAAATAAAAGGGTTGTGATAGTTCATGTTTGCCAGATACACCACAGCGTACAGCTGAACAGCGGGGAGAGTGCCCAAACTCTAGTTCTCTATGGTAAGTGCTCAGATTCTGCAATGAGAGGAGAACCACATGAACACACACTGCGTGAAGGCAGAACAGTGGGGATTTTATGAGATTTATTCCAGGAAACCTTTTGAAGTTAAGAGATATCATTATCTTTGTCTCTTCTACAGCGATGGCTCAGTATAGATCAATAGAACTGAACCCAGCAGTTACTTGTTCAAGAAAAAGACATGTAATTTTTCAGTTGCCAGATTACAGAAGAGAACTTCTGGAAGGATGCTGGCAATAACGTGCTTTTTTTTTTTTTGTCTTGATTGCTTGCTCTGTGCAAAATCCATGCTATCTGATTGATAATGCTAGCAGAAGCTGCCTGCACGATTGAGGACAAACCTGGAAAAAGAGACAGTTCTTACATTTCAATTACTGCCTTGAGGAAACAGTAAATTATTACTGATAATTACTGCTGTCCAGTTGAAGTACCCTTTTAAAGGGGATAGAAATGGCATATACTTTTCTGTGAAACCCATCCTTTTTGCTATACCATTGTTAAGAGAATATACTTTGGTTTACATAAGAAAACCATAGTGTTGAGTGTATTTAGTTTCTCTGAGAAGAAAATACATGAACTATTTGTCTAGACTACTGTGCATCTATGAATTTAGATATAGAATTATTATTTTATGTTACATTGTTCATTTTTCTGGAAATGCTTTTTCTCTGCTGGGGAGCTTAATGTTTTTATTGCAATTGCTCCTCGCAATGTTGTACATCTGCCCTGCTCTGTTTTCTATATCTTAGAAAGGAAAAAACATGTATAGTTCAACCTCTTCCCTCCCCACTAATTCTAACTACACTGGAGTTTTTCCTTGAAGTTCTCTGCAGAGTATCTGGGAATTCCTGCTCAGACAATGACAAAGCCGAATGTTAGCTTTCTCTCAACTGAAGTTTAAGATTTGACTTCTAAGTGTGCACTTCAGAGGGGTTTTTGTTTTGAAGCTGAAGTGTGTTTGATTACATACTTATCGGGATGATATCTCAGTGATGCGTATCCAAAACCAAAGTCTGAAAAAAACTTCCTAAAAATAAATTCCTATGTGTAGCCACCTGTGTAGCCAATTATTTGAACCTTCAAGAGCTCGAATTTCAGAAAAAAAAACATGAGGAGACCAATGTAAGAATCATAAGCTTTGGTCTTCTCTAGAGGCAAAGCTGCAGTTTTCTCCCCCAAATTACCTAAAAGCCAGTTTTTAAATGAAAAAAAAAAAAAAAGTGATGATGAGATAAAGAAATCCATGAGTTTAGTTCCTTAAGAAACATATGAGAGCTTGTTTTTTTCTTTTTATTTTGCCTTTTAGGAAATTTCTTTTCCTAGCTCTTACAGGAGCTGAGGCCTGTGTATAAAGATGCTGGCACTCCTACGTCATGCACCAAGACCTGGGGGGACGTTCCCATGCTACTTCTTGTTTCACATTAAGAGATGAGGGAAGGTGCTTCTTAGTTTACTAGCTATATGGCGTTAAGAACAGAAGCTACTGTCTCCACGCATTGCGGGCCTACGTGGATATACCATCTCACTTCTAGAGGAGAGACCCTTGCACCTTGTTCTATGGTTGAAATAGCACATGTTTTATTTTGGTATGGTAATGTCGGGAACTTCAGTGTCAACTAAGTTCAGTAGTTTTAGGGACTGATAAATTTTTAGACCAGAGCAGAGCGACTTTGTCAGGCACTGCAGTCTGCATGTGTTCAACATACTGAATAATTCTGGATGATGGATTTTTAGACCAAGACACTCAGGTAAATATTACAGAGACCAGGTGAGAAAGAAATTCATACAATTCATACAATCAGCAGGTATTGAATCAACCCCGGCCCAAGGGGCAAGTGGTTAAGCTCAGAAGTCCTCTTCTGTTTCTGCTTCAGATTTTGAGATAAATGAGAGTATTCTGTAAACGATTTTTCAAGAAATCAAGTTCAACCTCATCAAAGTTCTCCTGCTATTCCGTTGTGCATATTAAGTTAAAGAAGTTCTGCACCAAGTCCCTGTTATGTATGGGATGCAGGCTGCACATGCAGGCTTGGAAGTTTATTTCCTGTTGAAGGAGTCAACAAGTTTATCTTTGCTACTTCTCCTTTCAGACTGGAAAAAAGTTTTATACAAATAGTGCAAGCTGCTGAGAGCTGTCCCTTCTCATGCATATAGAGATCATGTTACCCCAAAATGACAGTGTGGGCTCTGAGGATATATTGTGGGAGATGGAATGCGTTCCTGTAGGTACTGTGCACACTTAAAAATGTGAGTGTCTTGGTCTAAAAATCCATCATCCAGAATTATTCAGTATGTTGAACACATGAAGACTGCAGTGCTTGACAAAGTCGCTCTACTCTGGTCTAATAAGATGCAGAATCTGAGCGTCAAATTGTATTGTTTTCACTGTTTTTTACAAAGGAGTCTTTGGGAGAAGGAAAGATGATAATGTTATGTTAAACATCTTGTCTGATTAGCTGAAGAGGAAATTCTATCAGAGCTCTCCCAGACAAATATAGCAACATGAAAGATATCTATGGTTTCACCTGATCACCAAACAGGTCATTAATAGTAATGAAACTTCAAAGACTCTCAAGTTAATTCAATAAACTTCTAGCTTTGGCCATCAGGATTTTTTTTTAAGAAAAGTAATCTTTCAATTTAGCTACATAAATTATTAGCATTGTTTTGAAAAAATCCATAAGAATATTCCATCTTGATTAGAAATAACTGCAATTTCAGTTATTTCATCTATTCCTGACTTGCTTGGCATCATATCTGAAAAAGTGTCAAGCTGCTAGCAACGTTAGATTAACAGTAGAAGACAGAAATGTCTATAGAAGATGCCAGAATATTGCCTAAATGAAGGAACGAAAATGAAAATCCATAGTCGGAGCCCACCTAATAGATTGCCAGAAATATAGACATCTGAAACACATTGTATTTTTAGAATTATTTACTGACAGGAAAACTTGTAGTAAGCCATTTAATAATGAAACTCAGAAATAATATTTTGAAAATTATAATTTGAATGCACCTTAAAAAGAAGTTTTGAATGAATGAATGATTTCTTTCTAGCCTTTCCTTTAGTTCCTAGATATGCGATGAGCCTGAGCACAGAGGTCCTATTGAAGTCCTACCTTTGCGGTTAAACCCAGAGAGAAACAAGAATAGAGAAAAAAAAAAGAGGAAAAAAAAAAAAAAAACTTTTACTAATATTCACTATATACCAGAGCTGGGTGAGAAAAGTAAGAGTCCCAGATTTGCTTTCATGTAGATCCATTGGCTCCAACAGCCCACAGATCTCATGAAGAAGCTGCAGCTGTATTCTGGACTCTGTAAAGTATCTGTTTTCCGTGTCACTAAATATAGAAATATTTTCTTATCAGTTGTTTATAATGGGAGAATTTAAACTTTTGTGTTGGCTTCTGTAGAGCAAAGAGGAACTGGGTCCTAGATAAGGTGGCTGATTTTAGTAGAATATTAGACAATTATTACATAGTTAAACCATAAATCGAAGTTCATTGCTAGAAAAAGTTTTTGGTGTTATACTAAATTGCTGCATTTTTTGCCCTTTTGGGCAACAATGTACGCACATTTCTGTTTCGAGGCCAGAGCGATTCACTGAGTTTCTAACACTTTATTTTGCAGCTGGGCATTATTTTTTGTGCTCACAGGTACACTGCACGTTAATTAGTTTTG